CGCGGAGTGCTCCAGCATCCTGGGGCTTCGCTGGACAAAATCAAGATGCTGCGGCGCAGTGTAGCACGACTGGCCCGCCACGCCGCCCGGCAGGCGTCGCGCGTGCGAACGCAGCAGCACTCGGTGGCCTCTGTCGCGCACCCGTTGCGCCATGCGCAGCCCTTTTCTCTGCTTGTGCGATCGCTGCATGGTGGTGCGTCGGTGCCAACGGACAATGTAATCCCACGCGACAATCGCCAGTCCGTACAGGTTGCTCATGAGCCTATGCATGTAGGCCTTTTGGGAAGAGGTCCAGGCGCTGCACGTGCGCGCCTACAAGGACGACGCTTTGGCACAGTATGAGCTAGGGTTGATGTACCTGGAAGACGACGAGGCCTCGGACGCGGCGTCGCCCGAAGACGAGTGGCTCCTCGATGCCGAGGACATGCGCCAAAAGGCGAACGCGACGTCGGACCCGCAGGACATCAAGACCATTCGGAAGCAGGCGCGTAAGATGTACAAGGCGTACCGCGAAGAGCAGAAGAAGAAGACGCACGCCGCGAGCCTCGTCCAACACACGACCACTAACGCGTTGGACGACGTCTTTGGCAGCATCGTCGAGCCGCTCTTGAACGGATCCAAGAAGCTGTCGCCGCTCGGCGAGACCTTTGAGGCCCCCGATGACCCGATGGAGCTCATGCGTCAAAACAACGCCAAGGGGGTCGAGTGGCTTCGCCGCGCTGCCGATGCTGGGTACATGAAGATCATTTGATCGTCCACTACTTGAAATCAAACACAACAACTCATGTTTCTTTATGGCCAGGCACCGCGACGCCTACGTCCGCCTCGGGAACCTCTGCATGGAGCACGACCCACCGCTCGCGCACGCCGGCGCTGCGTGGTACTCGCTCATCGCCGACTGCCAGAACCCGCACCCCGACGCGCTCTACAACCTCGGGCTGCTCTACTACAACGGCAGCGCAAACTCATTGCCTCCGATTCCCGCGGATGCCGAGCGCGCCATGGGCTACTTTATGAAGGCGGCCGAGGTCGGTGACCCCAGCGCCCTCTTCTTCATGGGCCACGTGCTGCACGTTGGCCACGACGTCGTCCCTGCGAACGCGACCAGCAGCCTCCTCATGCTCGAAGCCGCCGCGGCCAAGGGCCACGGCGGCGCCCGCTACTACCTCGCCCAGCTCTATCGCAGCGGCGACGAGAGCATGGGCATAGCGCCAGATGCCGACGTGTTCTGGCGCTACCTCCAGGACGCGGTCGCGTGTGACGACGCGGATGCAATGTACTGCATGGCCGACGCGTACCACTATGGCCTCGCGCCGCTGACGGCGCCCGACATGCGGCGCGCGATCGAGTTGTACACGCAGGCGGCCAAGCTCGAGCATGCCGATGCGCTCTGCTGCCTTGGCGCGCTCAAGTACGAACGTCGCGAGTACACAAAGGCCTTTCAGTACTACCAAGCCGCGGCCGACCGCCACTCGATGTCGGCGTGGAAGAACCTCGCCGATATGTACTACACGGGGACGGGCGTGCCCCAAAACAAAAAGACGGCCGAGTCCATTCTCGACATGCTCAAGCAGCTCGAAGCCGCCGAGTAGACTTGACGTAGCACAATACACACGCGTTGTCAACAGCACGAGGAGGGTGGTTAGTCGCGGGACATCGGGTCGATGTACGTCTCGACCGTCGACATGGGAAACCCCGGAAAGCCCATGGGTGGGAACGGCGACGTCGTCACCGGGTTGGACTTGGGCGCTTCCTTGATGGGCACGACTTGCAGCCGCGGCGACGGCAACGATGACGTCGACGATGGCGCACTCACCGACGAGAGCACTTCGGCAGGCGCGCACACTGCGAATGGGGCCACCACGGCGGGTGCTGCGGTAGGTGTCTCTTCCTCCCCGACCTATGCCGCGTACGTGGCGAGGACTCTAGCAGGAAGAAGCTTACCATGTCTTCGGTCATCGGCGCGACGGGCTCGGCAGGCAGCTCGCGGGCTACATACCACAGTCATGGACGCGCTAGACGCAGGAACGACGATACCGTAGACATCGGTCGCAGCCTTTGTATGCGCCGCAATGTTGACAAAGCCGATTGACTCGCCGTTCGAAGTGCGGACGCTCGCGGGAAGACGGTGAAGGTACCCGTGCCCGACCTCGGCGCCAAGGAAACCAAAGCCCTCGCCGCCCCAGCGGTCGTTGGGTACGATCGTGACGAGCCGGACTTGGTCTGTTTTGGCGCTACGTCGACGCATGCGTGTCTCGATAGAGAGAGCAAGGAGTCGCCATACCTGTAGACGTAGCACTGCAAAGGCTTGTCGAGGCTGTCCAAGATCTCGTCGTAGAGGTCCTCGGGATCTAGTGTACCATGGCAATGCCATGCAAGACAGTCGCGAGTCTACCTCGAAAGACGCGCTCGTGCGTGCCAAGGAGGAAGTCAGTCTCGGGCTCGAGCGTCGCAAGCTGCGCCGGCGACTTGTCGGCCACCTCCTACACACAACGCGCCTGAGTGCACGCTCCGTCGGGTTCTCGACGCCTACGAGCACGTGGAGCAGGTTGTCTTCCGCGCCTTCAAACGAGTCGAAGCGGATCGTGACGCCAAGCATGCCCTTCCCAGGCCACTGGCGCGTCGGTGTCATCTCGAGCTCTACGCCATCCGCATCTTACAAGACATGGCCAGGCCTTGTCGTACCGCGGGTCGTCTGCGACTTGACGTTGTACACCGAGAGCTTCATGGGCACGTCTTCGCTCTGCGCAATGATCTCCATGAACGTCGCGTCCTTCGTGTCCTACGCATGCGGGCGTCAGCGGATCGTCGTCACGGAGCTTCTCATACCAATCGGATGCCATTCGCCGCCACGATGAAGTCGAAGAACGAGACAAAGCCGACCGTCGACGAGGGCGAGTTCTCCTGGATGCCAAGCACGCGGAAGCCGGAGCTCGAGCCATCGCCCTCTTCCGGGACCGGCGACGCGGGCGTCGACTGCTCGCTGCCCATTGCGGTCGGTTGTTGACGAAGTTGGGGTCGCCTCTGAGATCCGATGCTTTAAACTATGCATTCTCCGAGGTAAAGTCTATGAGCACGCAACTTGAAGTCGGGCCGCGCCAAAACCGTCGACGACGAGGCTGGCGACTGGACCGGGTAGGAGCGGGGCAGAGAGGCGACTGGAGACGCCCAAGATCTGCGATTGATATCAGGTCATAAACGATGTGTGTACGGGTACCACTGCGTATCTGGAGACTGGAGATTCCTCCGTCCGAAGTGTGCGACACCATCGATTGCTGACCGCGTACAGGCTAGAATGTAATAGCAGCGTGTGTTGCACCCGTGTAAGCTTACAGTGTTGTTCGGGCGTGTTCGAATCGCGAGCACTCCTGGTACTTGATATCAAGTGTCTTAAAACGAGCGACAAAGTCGACACTACTACACTGTACTGGACTCGCCAGGGTCGCAAGGCTACTCGTACTTGGAGCGCCGTGAGATGATGCTACGTTACTGGTATGTCACCTGGGCGCATGACGCACCATGGGACATTTGGCGACGTTCCGACTACCGGTACGTAGGGCAGAGATTCGTGCGCGATGGCCGCCCGTTCTGCTCCATCTCGACGAGGAAGGAAGCGGTTCCTTCGGGCGCCTTGACTGTAGAGAGCGAGGTTGTTATGTGTGGTCAATTCACGAGCACTCTGTGCAGACCGCTGGACGAGACACGATGCGAATTCCGAGCGCGTTGGCACGTCGACCTCAGATGCGACATATGGTGGTAGCCAATGGAGCTTCTCGCTCGAAAGACACATTGTCCAAACTGCGTTCTTTGTATCCGATGCCGCGCTTGGCTGTCGCTATCGTCAATGCGTCTTGCTTTGCGCGCGAGGCTCTAGTTCAGCGTCCTTTGCGTCTGTGCGCGGCGTGCATCAGGGTCGGTTGACGAGCAGCAACATCTGTTGGGCGACGTCGTGCATGGCCTCCATCGAGCTTTCTCTATCGTACTACTCAGTACTATGTATGAAAGAACAATGGAAAGTCTATAATCCAGCGTAGTACTCTAGTTTGTCGATAGCGTCCCATCGTCGAACCAGCTTCTGTGGCACCGCTCGTCCTTCTTCCTGCAATGTGACCCGTCGTTGACCTTGGCTGCGCATCGTACGCAACTTGAATCAGATGTCGCAAATGGATCGTCATGTTGCAGACTGCCAGACGCCTTTCGCCGTCGCTTCCCTACTCGCTCTGACACCACAACGCCTCCATCCTAACAAATAGGCTCTGCGTTCTGACCCTATAAGATTCTTCACCGTGCACAGTGGCGTCTCTCGACCGGTTCTCGTCGTCAGCTTGCAAACGCACGAACCCAGCTGCTGCGTTGTGCACCCGTCCACCTCGTATTTCGAACACTCTTTGATTTGTCTCGCAGCATGCGCGACCACTTCCGGCACTCGGTGAGCTCGCTCTACGCCTCAACCGACACGGCGCCGCCCAAGGCCGCCGGACGACACGACGACCATGCGGACGACGAGAGCGACCACGAGGCGTCGTCGCGCTGGCGCAACTGGCTCAACGGCGCCCCCGGCATTCTCCTCGGCACGGCGATCGCGCTCGGCTTGTTTGCGCTCGTGCAAGCGGTCCCGAGCCTCCACGCGGCGCTCGCTGTCTACATCGTGGGCAAGAACACGTACTACATTGGATGCCTCTACTTTCGAGCTATGACCTGCGTCGTCGTGCCCTTGGCGTTCACGAGCATCGCGCTGAGCGTCGCGGCGGTCGTCCACGCGCCCAAGCTGGTCTTCGTGCGCGTCAAAATGATGTGGCTGCTGCTGCTTTCGACGCTGCTTGCGGCGCTGCAAGGCATGACGTGTGTCTACTTGATTCGACACCACATCACGGGCAGCGAATTTGTGTACCGCCAAGGCCTTCTCTCGATCTACTGCCCCGACACCACCACATCGCTGCTCGTACCGTCGAGGAACGGCTCGTTACACTGCGTCGAGAACGTCATGGGCACTGCGAAAAACGCATTCCTTATCGGCGACGACGTGTACAAGATCATGAGCCTCATCAGTCGCTACACGCACTACGACTCGGACGCAGCCCAAGTCGCTCACTTGGTCCGAGACCTCGCACCGAACAACCTCTTTGCGGCCTTCTTCACCAACGACGTGCTTGGCATTGTCTCGTTTGCCATCGTCTTTGGCGTCGCGACCGGTCTCCTCTCGCGCTCCGAGTCGGGCAACGTTGTCATGAAGGTGCTTCGCGAGCTCAACGCGCTGCTTCAAACCATGAGCGGCTACGTGGCGGCGGCGACACCCGTTGCAATCATCCCGCTCATCCTTGCGCCGCTCCTCGCGGGTACGCATACGATGGATTTCGACATGCTCCGCTTGGCGTACTACCTCGTTGCCTACGTGTGCGGCAGCTTGTTGCATGTCTGTGTCGTCCTCCCGGCGCTGCTCGTGCTCTGCGCCCGCGTCAACCCGTTTGCGTACTACTGGAAGCTTCGGCACGCAGCCATTTATGGCTTTGGCTGCAGCTCGTCGATGAAAGCACTGCCCGTGACGATGCGCGTCGTCGACCGCGAAGTGCCCAATCCGAGCACGGCCCGCTTCGCGCTCTCGGTCGGGACCGTTCTCAACAAGAACGGCGCGGCCATGTACCTCTCGATGGCGTTTCTCTGGATCTTCTACAACGGCGGTCTGGCCAAGGAGCTCACTGCAACGACCGTTGGCGTCATGGTGGTCTCTGCTGTCGTCGGCGCCATCGCGGTGCCTCCGATTCGAACCGGCGGTGTCGGCATTGTCGTGTGCCTTTACACGTTTGTGACGGGCCTTCCGATTCCATTTGCTTTTGCCTTTTTACTCGTCGGCGAGTTTCTCATCGACCCGATTGCGACAGTGACCAATATTGCAGGCAACGTTGTCGTCGCGTACATCGTCGCCCATCAGAAGCGCACGATGGATCTGCACGTCGCCGCATGAGTCATGTGTCTATTTCTTATTTTTAACACGATGCGATCAATGAATAACGTCGGAGACGAAAAGGTGCCGTCTGATACGGAGACGTGGGTGGCCGACCATCGTGGGTGGCCGGCCATCGATGGCACGCTTGGATGTCGTCGCTCGTCCAAGATGATTGCGTCGATAGGGTGGACGATGATGCTACGGTGCAGACAGCTCCGTCTCTCTGCTTCCAAGTATTACGCAGTAGCAAGAAGATTGTGCTAGCATATGCACGAACGACAATCCCACACGCGACGAGGCGCGTCCACAAGGCGGACGTTTCGACCATCTGAGTCTGAAACAGCCATGTGGAAATGGATGGCTGGGAGGCATCGACACCGCACCCGTCCAAATCGACCTCAGCTGGCCGTCCATTTTGGTGCATGGTTCGGATCGTCCACCACGTTGCAAACGCCTACTGCAGATGAGCGGCAATGAGGCCGTACATGCCCGAGTATCGAGGGGCCATCAGGTAGGTGCAAATAGAAACACGACGACCAGCATCCACGTTGTTCTTGTTCCTATTACTAGTATAGGTTTAAATAATGTCTTTTGCGCTGAAGTTCCGTTGGCGTCTTCACAGGCCGGACCACGCGGATACAATGTATATAGTCAGACGTCTCTAGTCCATCGACCCAACGACTTACTAGATCGCAAACATGGTCGTCGGCGTCGTTTGGCGGCCGACAATATGAGCGACGACGGCGTTCCCGAGGACGTTCATGACGGTCGAGATCGGGTCAATGAACGTTTCGGCAATCATGAGGTAACTGTACGCGTACGGTGTCGGGAGGTCCGTGAGCGTGGTAAAGATGACAATCACAACGGGCACGGCGCCGTTGCGGACGGGCGCGACGCACATGGAGCCGAGGAGTGCGCAGACTGCAATCACCACCATCTTGACCGGCGTGAGCATGAACTTGAGCCCTGCGTCGTGGAAGATCCAGATGAGCGAAAGTGCAATGTGGAAGGCGCCACCGTTCTTGTTGAAGCAGTTGCCGACCTTGAGGGCCGCGCGGCACGCGACGCGGTTCGAGACGTGCGGGTCCAAGCAGCGCATGGTCACAGGTAGCGTCTTGCGCGACGAGCCCGACCCAAACCCGTACCAGAGGGCCTCTTTTGTCGCCCGCAGAAACCGAAGCGGACTCGACGCTGTGAAAATCGCCGACACAAGCGGCAGAATCACAAACGTATGAATCGCAGCGCCCGCCACGTACACGCCGGCGTAGATGCCAAGACGCGGAAAGACCGAGCTGAGAGTGTGTGTGCGCGCAAAGATCGGGCCCGTGATCATGGGCACCATAGCAATCGGCGTCACTGTGATGATGTACGAGAGCATTGTCTCGAGCGTCGCGCTGGCCTCGATCAGCGTGTGCCGGAGCCGGTTGGTCGCGTCCGACCCTTGGTTCTTCCCCGAGAGACCGAGTGCGACACCAATGAGGAGCGCAAACGTCGCCAAGCTCAGCAGGTTGTGCGCAATAAACGCTTGGAAGATGTTGCTCGGGATCAAGTCGGCGACCGCCGATTGCAGCTCGTCGCCCGCATTCGCATAGTCCTTGCGCCGAATCAGACCCGAGAGGACGGGAAACACGTGGTCGCCAATGTAGAACGTCGTCGAGTTGTCTTGGGCGCCGCACGCCATGCGGCCCGTGACTGGGTCGCTCTGGAGGTACAGCGACGCGTTGTTGGCCGACGGGCACTGGAGCTCCATGAACGGCAGCTCGATATAGACGTAGCGCGCACCGTCGAGCTCGGTACCGACCAGCGCCTCCCACGTGAACGCTTGGCCGATCGCGAGGCCGGTTGTGAGGAGCGCAAGGCCGAGCGTGTGCCACCGCAGCCGGTGGGTGCGGAAGCTGTGCGTGAATTCGGCCACGTTGAGAATGATGTCGATGAACGCAAGGGGCATGACGACGCACTCCATCGCGCGGAAGTAGAGGTTCCCGATCGCAATGATGGTCCGCGCGACCGTGATGTGCATGTGCACGTCCTTGAAGGCGTACGTGAGAACGAGCGCTAGGATCGCGCCGAAGAGCGGCCCGGGGGCGCCGAGGAACCAGCGCTTGAGACGCGACGCGCCCTCGGGCTCATGGAACGCAAAGAGGTCGTCGCGCTGGCGGCCAAAGAGTGGGTTGGGCGCGTTCGTGTGGGTCGTGCCGGACGGAGCCGACGACGCGGCGTCGTCGTGCTTGGCCATGACGAGGGCGATTCAGCAATGGCGGACGGTGGAGATGCTGCAGCATAGCAACACATGGCGCGTAGACGTGACCTGAAACACGTGTAGTAATCAGGACAGTAACCCCCTCCACGCCAGTCGCTTGCACGGACGGCGATTGTGCGTCCAATGATGGAAGCTGGGGCTCGAATACTGAAGAGAGTGGCAGGACCACTGCGTATGCGGTGGCGAATGGTCGCGACCCGTCGAGCACATGCAGCGATGAAGGGACTGTCCATGCACCGCTGTGGTGAGCGGTTCTGGCATTTTGCTGTTTGGATTTTGGTGATACGAGGGGGTGGGGGGGGTCGAATTCATCGCACACGAGCGCGTAATCGATGTGGTCGACTTGTTTGGACCTGGGTTAAAATAGCCAGCTGACGTGACCAATGCCACCAATTTCAACCAGATTGTGCATATTGCGTCTACCAGCCGCGTTCATCTTGAAGTCTTGAATATTGAGGCGTTTGCATGTCCAACCCTCGCGGCTTGGTCGTGTTAACAGCGATGTAGATACCTCGTCTGGAGCTCTGCGGCGGGGATACGAGGGACTGCAAATTGGTCCAAGAGCTTCGGCGACGCTATCAGTTCATCGAAGCGCCGGGTGCGTCTGTCGCATGGCAGCTGTGGACCCATGATGCTGGGGACTAAACCCAGAATAGACTCAAATGGGCGACAAGAAGCTGGTGATTTTCTCTGTCCTCGCTTGCTTCCATGCACAAAGGCATGGCATGTTGGTGAATGCACGCTTCTGTCCCAACCGAATCATCTATAATTCTCATTTTGTCAAGAGACCCTCCTCCTTTTTGAATAAAGTCATTCGTCGCGTTGGAGAAGGCCTAACGATTCATATCCCAATACAGTGTGGAGTAATTACCGTTGCTACAATGCGGGCCCGCCACTCGGTGGTGCTCGAGAATAGAGGACCGACCGACCACGCCCCAAAAGGCAAGAAGGGGTCGAACATGTCATGTCTACCACGTGATGGTTTCAGCAAAAACATTACTCTGCCACTGACGTTGACGATAGAGTCGCATCGCGCATGTCCTGTAAGTGCAATGTCATTTGTGTTTGGTAATACTATGATGTGGCTTTCTGCGGTGTTTGCGAGTCGCAGTGAAGCGTCAAGCTTGTGAATGATCCGTGCACCGGTGTACGTGCCTCGTCGCGCCAAGGAGTGTTGACACCGCTGCCATTACACGACCGCCGATATTCTAATACAAGAGCGGTACCTGTACTTATATTAGAGGGATCCTAGCGATACGCAAGCACTGCTGCTATCTACCGTCCGAAATATCAGCGCGTTGGTGGACGACAAATGCGAGACGTTTCGTGTCTCTAGCATGCAATTGTAATCTACAACGCATGCAATGTTGCTCTGGATCGCTCCAATTTAGCAACCAAACCAAAACTGGAGCGAGTTTGATATCCCACGTATTTCGCGTGTGGTGCGTACATTGAGCTGCCTGCTTGTAGAATCTACCTTCTTCAACGGGCATGTGCCCCAGATAAGAGCTTTGAATAGCCCTGACGATAAACACGCTCGTACGACGGAAATAGAAACTTTCCGTGCATACAAGTATATCCATCTTTCACTACTTACATGAAAGCTGTTCTGGAAGGTCAATGCCAACTGATTTCCGGGTATCTTGAAAAGCGAATTTCGCGAAGCAACCTACTACCTTACCAACCCAAGAAACCAGAGCCAATGCAAAAGCCAAGAATGAGTTGCTGGTACAGTATTCAACGAGACACAAATGTGTACACACTACGACACAACGTCCAGAGGAGTCGTGACCTAACCCTCCTGCGGGTTGGCCGTCGAACGAAGGCTCGTCTTGGTGAGGTACGGCGCGATAAAGTCCTTGCCGTATGAGAGGCGCGAGTAGACACCGGGCTTGTTGGCCAACGCGCAGCCCTCACCCCAGCTGACGACGCCGATCTGGACTTCCTTGCCGTTCTTGACGGCCGTGAGCGGGCCACCCGAGTCGCCCTGGCACGAGTCCTGGCCCTTGACGCCGCCCGCGCAGATCATGGACGCGTGGATGCCGTCGAGGTTCTTGGCGCATTGGTCGTTGGCCCAGACCTTGACGCCGACCTGGAGCAGCACCTTGGACTGCGACCCGCCCGAGCTCGTCGTGCCCCAGCCGCGGACCTTGGCGACGACGCCCGGTGCGTTGGATGCGTCGTCGTCAAAGCTGAGCGTCACGGGCGTTTCCTTGCTCGCGCGCTCGAGCTCGAG